TTTAAGCAGAGTGAAAAGGCAACCCACACAATGGGAGGAAATACTTGTAAATCATATATCTGATAAAGGACTAATATCCAGAATAAATGTATATAAATCCTAAAACTCAATGACCATAAAAACCCAAACACCCTAATTAAACAATGTACAAAAAAATCAAATAGACATTTCTACAAATAAAATATATAAATAGCCAATAATCACATTAAAAGATTATCAACCTTATTAATCACTTAAAAAACGCAAATCAAAACCACAATGAGATACCACTTTATACACACATGCATTAAATGGCTACTATTAGAAACAAAACATAGCAAAACAACAACAAATACCATGTTTGTGAGAAGAATAACGTGTTGGTGGAGAAGTTACAACTATTGTGCATTACTAGTGGGAATGTAAAATGTTCCATTCACTGTGAGAAATTGTATGGTAGATTCTCAAAAAGAAGTTAAGTATAGAGCTACCATATAATCCAGCAATTCCACTTTGGGATATATATCCAAAAGAATTGAAAGCGGGGACTCCAATAGATATTTGTACAATAGTCATAGCACAGTATTCATAGTAGCCAAAGATGGAAACAAACCAAATGTCCATCAATGGATGAATAAACAAAATATGGTATATACATACAATGAAATATTATCCAGCCTTTAAAAGTAATGAAATTCTGATATATGCTAAGTATAGATGAACCTTAAAGATTAAGTGATATAAGCCAAATGCAAAGAGCAAATATTATGATTCCACTTTCATGAAGTACCTAGAATAGTAAAATTCATGGAGACAGAAAATACAGTAATGGTTACCAGGGCTGGGGAAAGAGAGAAATGAAGCATTATTGTTAAAATTCGACAAAGTTTTAATTTGAAATGATGGAAAATTTTTGAGATTAATAGTGGTAATGATTACAAAACAATGTAAATGTGCTTATTACTGCTGAACTGTATACCTAAAAAATTGTTAAACTGATAAATTTTATGTTATCTACATTTTATCGTAATAAAAAACTTTCAGGTGACATGACCAAATCGCAGAGTAGGAGATACCAGCCCACATTCCCCCATGAAAAAGAAATATATACGGCTAGCCACAAACTCAAATAGCCTACAAAGGGTTCAAGAGTTCAATATAAAATTTGTTACAACACAGTGGAGCAAAAAATGGAGAATATACACAGAGAAAGGATCACTGGTACAATCAGCATACCTGAGATACCAGATGTAGGTGATGGGGGGATGGAGGCAGCAAACCACCTTGCCATGTATGTATCTATGCAACAATCCTGCATGATCTGCACATGCACCCCAGAACCTAAAGTACAATTCTTAAAAAAAAAAAAAGAAAGAAAGAAAATGTGGCACATATACAACATGGAATACTATGCAGCCATTAAAAAGGATGAGTTAATGTCCTTTGCAGGAACATGGATAAAGCTAGAAACCATCATTCTCAGCAAACTGACACAAGAGCAGAAAATCAAACACCGCATATTCTCACTCATAGGCGGGTGTTGAACAATGAGAACACATGGACACAGGGAGGGGAGCACTACACACTGGGGTCCGTTGGGGGGAAATGGGGGAGGGACGGGGGGTGGGGAGGTGGGAAGAGATAGCATGGGGAGAAATGGCAGATACAGGTGAGGGGACGGAAGGCAGCAAACCACACTGCCATGTGTGTACCTATGCAACAATCTTGCATGTTCTTCACATGTACCCCCAAACCTAAAATGCAATTAAAAAAAAAAAAGAAATCCAAATCAAAACCACAATGAGATACCATCTCGCACTATTCAGAATGGCTACTATTAAAAAGTCAAAAAATAACAGATGCTGGTAAGGTTGCAGAGAAAAGAAAATGCTTATATACTGCTGGTGGGAATGTCAGTTCAGCCACTGTGGAAATCAGTCTGGAGATTTCTAAAAGAATTTAAAATAGAACTACCATTTAACTGAGCAATCCCATTATTGGGTGTATACCCAACAGAAATCACCTACATCTGGTATCTCAGGTATGCTGATTGTACCAGTGATCCTTTCTCTGTGTATATTCTCCATTTTTTGCTCCACTGTGTTGTAACAAATTTTATATTGAACTCTTGAACCCTTTGTAGGCTATTTGAGTTTGTGGCTAGCCGTATATATTTCTTTTTCATGGGGGAATGAGTCCCCTATACAAGGCCCTAGCTCCCAAACAACATTTCTAGACACACTCTGGGCCAAAAGAGAACAAACTGCTTTGAAGGAAGAACTCACACCTGGCAGCATTCATCACCTGATGACGAAAGAGCTCTTGGGCCCTGAATAACCAGCAATGATACCCAGCCAGTATGCCATGGGCCTTGGGCTCTGAGATGTGCTGATTACAGGTGTGACCCATCACATTCCCAACTTCGGTAGCTATGGTGAAAGATACCCTCCATTTGAGAAAAGCAGACGGAAATGCAAAGGAGACTTTGTCTTGCACCATACGTACCAGCTCAGCCACAGTGGGATAGAGCAACAGGTAAGCTCTTGGGGCTCCCACATCCAGGACTTGGCATATGGGCAGCATTTCTGAAACTGCCTAAGGCCAGAGGGGAGCCAATTGCCCTAAAAAGTGAGTCCCAGGCCAGGTAGCTTTTACCACAAGCTGACTAAAAAGCCTGTGGGCTTTAAGGGAACATTCACAGTAGCTTGGCAGTACTCCCCATGGGCTCTCCTGTCTGTGGAAGAGGGAGGGAAGAGTGGGGATGACTACATCTCATGGTTTGAGTGCCAGCTCAGCCATAGTACAATAGAACACCAGGTTAGGCTTCTAAGGTTTTGACTCTAGTCCCTGGCTCCAGGACAGCACCTCTGGACATGCCCTGGGCCTGAGGGATCTTATTGTCATGAAGCGAAGGACACAATCCTGGCTATCTTCACCACCTGCTGATTGTAGAGCCCTAGGGCCTTGAGTGAAGATAGGTGGCAGCCAGTTAGTAGTTACAGTAGACTTTGAGCAAGACCCAGTGGTGTGCAGGCTTTGGGTCTTACCCAGAGCAATCCCAGTGGTGTTGGCCACAGGAGTGCTTATATCACCACACTGCCAGCACAGAGAGAGAGAGAGAACAAGTGGACCTAACAGATATTTACAGAACGTATTATCTAACGGCTACAGAATACACATTTTTTCCCTTAGTACATGGATCATTCTCAAAGATAGACCATATGTTAGGTCACAAAAGAAATATTCAAACATGCAAAAAATTGAAATAATATCAAGCATCTTCTCTGGCCAAAATAGAATAAAACTAGAAATCAATAGCAGGAGGAATTTTGGAAACTATAGAAGTACATGGAAATCAAACAATATGCTTCTGAATGACCAGTGGGACGTTGAAGATATTAAGAAGAAGACTAATAAATGTCTTGAAACAAATGATAATGGAAACACAACATACCAAGATCTATAGCATACAGGAAAAGAAGCACTGAGAGGGAAGTTTATAGCTATAAGTGCCTATATCAAAAAACAAAAACAAAAAAAATCAAATAAAAAAAGTTAACACTGCATCCAAAAGTACTAGAAAGGCAAGAGCAAACCTAACCAAAAATTAGAAGAAAAGAAATAATAAAGATCAGAGCAGAAATAAATGAATATATAATGAAGAAAATATACAAAAGATCAATGAAACAAAAAAGCTGGTTTCTGAAGAGATAAACAAAATTATCTTTAGCCAGACTAAGAAAAAAAGAGATGGGCCGGGTGCAGTGGCTCATGCCTATAATCCCAGCACTTTGGGAGGCCAAAGTGGGAGGATCATGAGGTCAGGAGATTGAGACTATCCTGGCCAATGTGATGAAACCCCATCTCTACTAAAAATACAAAAATTAGCTGGGTGTGGTGGTGTGTGCCTGTAATCCCAGCTACTTGGGAGGCTGAAGCAGGAGAATCGCTTGAACCAGGGAGTCAGAGGTTGCAGTGAGCCAAGATTGTGCCACTACACTCCAGCCTGGTGATAGAGTGAGACTCCATCGAAAAGAGAGAGAGAGAGAGAGAGAGAGAGAGAGAGAGAGAGAGAGAGAGAAGACCCAAATAAGTAAAATCAAAGATGAAAAGAGAGACATGACAACTAATACTACAGAAATTCAAACGATCATTAGCGACTACTATGAGCGACCATACGCCAATATTTTGAAAAATATAGAAGAAATGGACAAATTCCTAGACACATCCATCCTGCCAAGATTGAACCATGAAGAATTCCAAAACCTGAACAAACCAATAACAAGAAAGGAGATCCATAATAAAAAGTCTCCCAGCAAAGAAAACCCAGGATCCAATGGCTGCACTGCTGAATTCTACCAGGCCTTTAAAGAACTTATACCAAACCTACTCAAACTATTCCAAAAAATAGAAGAGGAGAGAGTACTTCTAAACTCGTTCTACAGGGACAGTATTACCCTGATACCAAAACTAAACAAACTATAGGCCAATATCACTGATGAATATTATTATAAAAATTCTTAACAAAATACTAGCAAACCAAATAAAACACATTTTTTTAAAACGTCATTAATCATGACCAAGTGGGATTTAACCCAAAGATGCAAGGATGGTTCAACATATACAAATAAATTAATGTGATAAATCATATCAACAGAATGAAGGACAAAAAACATAAGATCATTTCAATAGATGCTAAAAAAGCATTTGGTAAAATTCAACATCCCTTTATGATAAAAAAAAAACCCTCAAAAAACTAGGTATAGAAGGAACATATCACAAGATAATAAAATTATATACAATAGGTCCATAGCTAGTCTCATACTTAATGGGGAAAAACTGAAATCCTTTCCTCTAAAAACTGGAACAAGGACGCTCATTTTCACCACTGTTATTCAACATAGTACTGGAAGTCCTGCTAGAGCAATCAGACAAGAGGAAAGAATAAAGGGCATCCAAAAGGGAAAGGAAGGAGTCGAATCATCCTTGTTTACAGAGATGATTTTATGTTTGGAAAAAACTAAAGACTCCACAAGAAAACTAATAAACTGATAAATTCAAGAAAGTTTCAGGATACAAAATCAACATACAAAAATCAGCAGCATTTCTATATGCTAACAGTGAACAATCAGAAAAATAAAATTTAAAAAGTAATCCCATTTACAATAGACACAAATAGAATACAATACCAGGAATTTACTTAACCAAAGAAGTGAAAGATCTCTACAATAAAAACATAAAACATTGATGCAAAACATTAAATGTTAATGGATTGGGAAAATCAATATTTTTAAATGTCCACACTACCCAAAACAATCTACAGATTTGATGTAATCCCTATTAAAATACCAATTATATTCTTGACATAAATAGAAAAAAACCCTAAAATTTATACGGAACCACAAAAGACCCAGAATAGCCAAAGCTGTCCTGAGCAAAAAGAACAAACCTGGAAGAATCATATTACCTGACTTTATACTACAGAGCTATATTAACCAAGACCACACAGCACTGGCATAAAAACAGACACATAGACCAATGGAACAGTATAGAAAACCCAGAGATAAATCCACACATCTACAGCAAACTCACTTTTGACTAAGTTCTCAAGAACATACACTAGGGAAAGGACAGTCTCTTTAATATACAGTGCTGTGAAAACTGGACATCCACATGCAAAAGAGTAAAACAACAGCCCTATCTCCCACCATATACAAAAATCAAATCAAAATGTATTAAAGGCTTAAATCATAAGACCTCAGACTATGAAACCACCAAAGGAAAATATTGGGGAAACTCTCTAGGACACTGGACTGCAGAAAGATTTCGTAAGCAATACCCCACAAGCAAAGGCAACCAAAGCAAAAATGGACAAATGGAATCACATCAAGTTTAAAAGCTTCTGCACAGCAAAGGAAACAATTAACAAAGCAAAGAGGCAACTGACATAATAGGACAAAATAGTTGCAAATTACCCATCTGACAAGTAATTAATAATCAGAATATATAAAGAGCTCAAACAACTCTATAGGAAAAAAAAATCTAATAGTTTCATTTAAAATGGGCGAAAGACCTGAATGGACATTTCTCAAAAGAAGACATACAAATGGCAAACAGGTATATGAAAAGATGCTCAATATCATTAATCATCAGAGAAATGCAAATTAAAGCTACAATGAGATATCTTAGCCCAGTGAAAATGGCTTTTATCTGAAAGTCAGGTAATGATAAATGCCAGTGAGGATGTAAAGAAAAGGGAGCTCTCCTACACTGTTGGTGGCTATGTAAATTAGTACAACCACTGTGGAGAATAGTTTGGAGGTTCCTCAAAAAAAAAAAAAAAAAAAAAAAAAAACTAAAAATAGAGCTACCATACAATCCAGCAATCCTACTTCCAGGTATATACCCAAAAGAAAGAAAATCAGGATAACGAAGAAATATGTACATTCCCATGTTTACTACACCATTATTCTTTATATTCAAGATTTGGAAGCAACCTAAGTGTCCATCAACAGATGAATGGATAAGGAAAACGTGGTACTTATACACAATGAAGTACTATTCAGCCATAAAATGAATGAGATCCAGTCATTTTCAACAACATGGATGGAACCGGAGGTCGTTATGTTAAGTGAAATAAGCCAGGTACTACTGAAAGACAAATTTCACATGTTCTCACTTATTTGTAAGAGCTAAAAATTAAAATAATTGAACTCCTGGAGATAGAGAGTAGAAAGATGGTAACCAGAGGCTAAGAAATGTAGTGGTGGGGTGGCAGAAAACTGGAGATGGTTAATGGGTACAAAAATATAGTTAGAAAGAATGAGTAAGACCTAGTATTTGCTAGAAAAACAGTGTGACTGTAGTCAATAATAATTTAATCATACATTTAAAAATAACTAAAAGAGTATAATTGTATTGTTTGTAACACAAAGGATAAATGCTTGAGGTGATGAATTATTACATTTACTATTTACACTGATGTGATTATTACACAGTACATGCCTATAACAAAATATTTCATGTAACCCATAAATATGTATACCTACTATATACTCACAAAAATTAAAAATATTTAAAAAGAAGAGAACAATGGACACTAGGGCCTATTTGAGAGTGGACAGCAGGAGGAGGGTGAGGTTTGAAAAACTACCTATCAGGCACTATGCTGATTACCTGGGTGACAAAATTATCTGTATGCCAACCCCCACAACACATAACTTACCCATGTAACAAACCTACAAATGTACCCCTTGAACCTAAAATAGGAGTTGGAAATAATAAGAAAAGAGAAACAGGTGTTACAAATCACTATTTTAAAAGAAATCATATGAAAATAAAGTTGCTCATTCCTTTATTCTTCTTTCTCTTATACATTATATTGTGATTCTATAGAATAATTGGAGCCAACTGGACTTTCACTAGGAGCTATCCTCTGAACACCCTTACCATCCCACAGTTCCTCTCTTTCAAATAAGAAAACCATGTGATTTACTAAATAATTTTAAAGTAATAACATAATATTTTGAGATGTTCATTTATATTTCTTTGTCTGAGTTGCCCAGTGTTCATTGCCTCCCTACTCCCAACAGTTGAGCAGCAGTGATATATTTCTACATGTCTTACCCTATTCAGGAATAAATAGCCACATTTTTCAATTTGGTTATTGAAAACTTACTGAAAATATAATTTACTAAAACAAAAAATACATATGCAAACACAATAGAAATCAACTCAAAATGGATTAATGACTTAAATATAAGACCTGAAACTGTAAAAGTACTGGAAGAAAACATAGAGGAAAGCTTATTAGCACTTGTCCTGGCAATTATTTTTTGGATATTACCCCAAAAGCATAGGCCACAAAAGGAAAAATAGACAAATGGACGGCATCAAACTAAAAAGCTTTTGCATGGCAAAAGAAACAATCGAGTGAAGATGGAACCTGCACAATGAGAGAAAATATTTACAAACTACACATCTGATAACGGGTTAATATCCAAAATACATAAGGAATTCAGACAACTCAATAACAAGAAAATAAATAACCTGATTTAAAAATGGGCAAAGGACCTGAATAGATATTTTGCCAAAGAAGACATCCAAATTTCCGACAGTTATATAAAAACATGCTCAACATCACTAATCATCAGGGAAATGCAAATTAAAGCCACAGTGAGATATCACCTCATACCCATTAAATTATCTACTATCAATAAAAAAAAAGATAACAAGTGTTGGGGGGATTAAGCAAAGGGAACTCTTGTACATCGTTAGTGGAAATGTAAATTAGTTCAGCTATTATGAAAAGCAGTATGGAGATTCCTCAAAAAATTTAAAATAGAGATTTTGCATGATTCAGCCATTTTACTTTAAGCGATATACCTAAAGGAAATAAAGTCACTATGTCAAAGACATACCTGCACTTCCATGTTTATTGCAGTATTATTCACAATAGCCAAGATATGGAATCAGCCTAAGTGTCCATCAACGAATGAATGAATACAGAAAATGTGGGGTATACACACACACAGATGCACACACACAATGGAATACTATTCAGCTTTAAGAAGGAAGAAAATCCTTTCATCTGCAACAATCCAAATGAACCTGGAGGACATTATGCTAAGTGAAATAAACCAGGCACAGAAAGGTAAATGCTGTATGATCTCATTTATATGTGGACTCGAAAAAAAATCGAGTTGATAAAAACAGAAAGTAGAATGGTGGTTACCCGTGACTGGCAGGGGGATACAGGGAATGGGGAAATGTTGGTCAAAGGGTTCAAAGTTTCAGTTAGGAAGGAGGAATACGTTCTAGAGCTCTATTGTACAGTATGGTGACTGATTATAGCAAATTATAATGTATCATATACTTGAAATTGCTAAAAAAGTAGATTTTAAATGTTCTTACTGCAATAGTTATTATAAGTATATGAGGCAATGGATATATTAATTAGCTTGATTTAATCATTCCACATTGTACACATATGTCAAAATATGTTATACCTCATGTATATATAATTAATATTTTTCAATTAAAAAAATAATTAGCTAATTAATTAATTGAAGTGCTACTTGAGAAGCTCTAACTTCTATTACCCCAGAATATGGCTGTAATTGGATATCAAGCCTATAAAGATGTGAATAAGTAAAAACGAGACCTTAAGGTGGCCCTAATCCAATCTAACTGATGCTTTTGTAAGAAGAGGAAATTTGTATGCACAGAGAAACAGCGGAGTGCACAGGCATAGAGGAAAGACTATGTGAGAACACAGTGAGAAGGTGACTATCTGAAAGCCAAAGAGAGAGACCTCAGAAGAAACTAAGATGATATACACCGCGATCTTGGACTTCCAGCCTCCAGAACTGTGAGAAAATGAATGTCTGTTGTTTAAGCCACCCATTCTGTGGTATTTTGTTATTGCAGCCATAGCAAACTAATATACCACGCTAATGTCCCAGATTTTCATCAGATTTAGCTTCTCAATCCTGAAGGCATTCAATATTCCCCCCCACCACCTTTTTTTTAGTAAAGAGAGGGCTGAATGGAGAAATGAGTGTACAATTAGTGGGTGGAGGGCAGTTAATTTCTATATATAACAGCCCTTTCGGAGGAAGAATTGAGATATGTCAGGGTCTCCCTGGTGTTTCAGGAAATGCTTGTGCATAGCATCAATAAAATTTTTGAAGAATAACACTCCAGACTGTTCTCTGGTTTTACCACACAAGGGAAGCAGAAAAACTTGACAGGCAGGCAGAATAAGGTATAGTTTCAGAGCACAGTCTTCAAAAACAGGAAGACCTGGGTTTGGGCCCTTCTCATCACCAAGTACCTCATCCGCAAATTGAAGATAGTAATAGTGTCTATATCAAAGTGTTTGTAGGAAGGGTTAAATGAAGTATTGCATGGAAAACAAGCCTAGCCCATGAGAATTAATTTCCTTATCAGAAGTTTCCCTAAACCACAAAGGGCTATAGCAACCAAAAGTGGCAGAAAGAACCAATAACATTTCTGTTCACCCTGCTACCCACAAGCAATTAGCCTCATAAAGTTTTAAAAATAGCCTGTGAAAGGTTCAGTGATTGCACCAAAACCCAACTTATTTTATGTTTGTAATACTCAGATAAAATAATGCAAATTATATCACACCTTGTAGTGCTCAATAAATATTGGTGCTTGTCAATTCTTATCACTCTACCTTTATGTCCCCTCTACACACACACACACACACACACACACACACACACTACTTAAATCCAACCTTTTTGTTTTTTTGGGAAAGTTTTCCAGTCTTAGGAGAGAGTACAGACAGATACGAACACCCCTCACCCTTTTTATTACCTCCTTAAACTTTAAATGCAGGTTCACATTAACTTCTAAGGTCTCAATGAAGATCACATTATTACAACTCAGTTGACATCAGCATGACTTTTCTGAAATCATATGATAATATACAAGCAGAGGACGGTTTTTATTAAAACACAACAATGGAGATTGCATCAGAAAGCAGTTGCCACAGAGCAGAACGTATTTTTCCATCAGAAAAATATTATAGCCTGTGGTAAACTATCTGTTTCATTTCTCTGTAATCAAAAATATTAACAGAAATATTCAACTTAATATTTGGAAAAATACAGATATAAGTCTAAAACCCATCATACAGCAGTGAAATGGAAAAAATGTGCTCTGACTTGGCTACAGCTGTCAAGAGAGTGCAATCCACATGTGTTACACTAGGGGCAGCAGCGTATAAGGAATGGTGATGTATTCTAACTGCATTTCCATAGAATTCTGATACTGGACCAAAATCAAGTAAGTATTAATGAGACCTTGAAAGACCAGTACTTTGGTTAGATTCTCTAGGATTTTTAGGTGGAATTCTAGGGAAAGACTTTGATGGGTGAGGTTTATCTCTCTGTTGCTTTTAAAGCTAGGTGAATTGATGCCTTCTTTTTCCCTCAGTTTCTTTCCCTGTAACTGACAGAGTCATGTACAGAGGCAATATCATTAGGACTCCATCATACTCAGACATCACGCATGTTGGGAGACTGGTAGCATGGGGCCAGCAGAGAGAATGGAAGGTGGAAGGGGCAGGGGCAGGATTCAAGGCCATTCCATAGACTGATTCTCAACTAAACATTTAGGAAAATCTCTTTATCTTTGTGGATTTATATATGTACGTAACATAATAATAAGGATGAATAAATCTGTGCTTGTTTGGTTAATACCCATCCTCCATACAGTCTTGCATTTTGATCAGCAATTTTGCTTTTATCTCACAAGCTCGCGAATCAAGCATACTCAGCTTCAGTTTCCCTGGTAACCGACCTCTGCTTCCTGTCTAGACTTCTGGTCATGAGAAGAGAGAAACGAAAAAACACAAAATAGGGGAGGGAGGGCTAGAAAATGTTATTTCTTATCCCCTTTCCTCTTCCCCACCATAGTCAATTTCTCTACCGCTACAGCCATCCCCCACCAGAAATGAACAAAGTCTGTTGGTGAAGTTGAATAAGATTAATCTCACCTGTGTTCTCATTGTTCAACACCCGCCTATGAGCGAGAATATACGGTGTTTGATTTTCTGCTCTTGTGTCAGTTTGCTGAGGGGACGGAAGGCAGCAAACCACACTGCCATGTGTGTACCTATGCAACAATCTTGCATGTTCATCACATGTACCCCCAAACCTAAAATGCAATAAAAAAATAAAATTAAAAAAAAAAAATCTCACCTGTGTATGCTCCTACCCGCCTTCCTTCCTTCCTTCCTCTCTGCATCAGTTTGGTACTAATTAGTCAACTCATCCATATGCAAGTGGATATACGGTTATCCTGACAAGAGATCCAGAGACTAAGAACCTTAGGCAGAACAGATATTTTTCTTTGTACCTCATCCTGCCTCTCTCTGCTTCTGGAATATAGTGTTCTTATTATTAATCATAGGCAAAAGGCTCCATCTTTTCTTGCCCTCCTGCCTCCACCCCTTCAGTCTACTGAAATAAATGAAAGCAGGGAAGAAATTCACTACTACAGGGAAGAAATCCAGCACTCCATCTAGAATCCCTAGTGGCAGGTATTCCAAAACCCAGGCTCTTGGGTACTACAGCCACTGCCTCCACATTGCACTCTGAAGGGAGGCTTTCTTGCTGGAACCCTTCCCCATCTTCTTCAGTCCAGCGTTGTGTTCTTACTTTAAATCACCCCTAGGCCACCACCCCAATCCCCAACCTCTACCAGGAACCCTCCCACAACTGCCCACTCTGTGGCCTTTATCCCATCCTGAGGGGCTTTCTAGAAATCCGACTCTAAGATAAGCCTCAATGCTATTAGCTTTCAAATTTGTGCCTCAGATGGGCTCTCTGCAAGTATTTGACTTGCCTCAAGATTCTCCATTTCTGTAGTTTAATCCTTAGGTGCTATAAAGTTCAAGGAAATGCTTGGGTTCTATTTTACTTGGCCTAAAAGACTCCTACCTCTTCTACTGACCTGGACTTCAGGGCTTCCATGTTCTTTCCCATCCCTCTCTTATTCTTTTTCTTCCCCCGCTCTCCCAACCTCAGCACCACAGGGCCTCAGGGGAAATGTAGGAGAAGGGTATCACCACTAATATCTTCTCTGTGGAAAACAGAGTAATTGAAAGGGGACTAGAGGGTAAATTTTGAGGAAAGAGCTTAAAGAGCTAAGATATGCCCCTGCAACTTCCTCTCGACTCCCAAATGATTGAGGTGGCTCTACTCATACTTATCCACACCCGCTCTCTCTTTCAGAGGCCCAGCTGTCCATATTACTACACTGGTACTGGAACCCTGCAGTCCGCTCCACATCAGCTAACATCACTCATATCCACAGATTAAAAACCATGAAATTCTCCTAAATTATCTTGAGGTAAAGTTGAAGTTTTAAACATATAATTATATGCTAATTTGAATTAGCATTCATAAGCATGTACCCAGAGTTAAAGAAAGTGTCCAAGTCTACACTCAGGTTCATTTGCATCTTCAAGTGTTTTCCTATTACATAAGAAAAACTAAAAGTAAATAAACTGAAGTTTCAGAATTGTACAGCAAGCAAGTTTGAGTAAATAAAGAAAAAGAAAAATAGCAGCAATCTTTGGCTTTGTAAACAGAAAAATTAACTATTTGGAGGAAAAATGTTTCATAATTACTTCATGCGATATACCAAAAAAAAACTATTTTATTCAGAAATTTTAAAAGTAAGGAAATAGCTCAAATAAAATATAACAAAATATGCATCTAACCAGGTACGAATTCATTTAAAAAGGAAACAAATCACAATGGAAATTATTGACCAGCCTCATTTTGTAAGTAGTGATTAAGATGTGAAGCAATCAAAATCCTCACACACTGCTGATGGGAGTATAAATTGGTACAGCCTCTTTAAAAAACTGTTTGGCATTACCTACTAAAATCGAGAATATACATGTTATAACCCAGCAATTCACCTCTCAGGTATACACCCTAAAAGAATGTATATATGCATTTATCAAAAGATGTATAAATGAATATTCAAATCACACAATTAACTCTCAACTAAAAACTTCTCAGATGTCCATCAACACAGTGAAAAACTATTTAGTGACAAGAATAAAAGAAATGATACACAACAACCTGGAAGAATTTCATAAATGTAATATTGTGCTGAAAGAAAAGATATACAGCTAGTGCTCAACTTAACAACCACGGTGGGGACTGCGGACCAGTCGTAACACGATTTGGTCGTAAGTTGAGTAGGCTATATGTACAGTTGAAATGGTGCACATGGAGATGGTAGTGCTGCCGGAAGCTGGTCCGCACTGTCATACGCCCAGCTGGGCAACGTTTGCGCTGCCAGACGCGGAGCAGTCGTGGCTAGCGATTGTGGTCGTAAAGTCGAATGGTCGTAAGTTGCATAGATGGTAAGTCGATCAATACCTGTAAAGCCATATAGTACGGTACATACTATATGGTTTTACTTATATACAGTCCAAACACAGGCAAAACTAATTCATGGCCTTCAAAGTTAAGACAGCAGAGCAGTCCATCTGTCTGAGGGGTGTCAGCCTTCCGGAACACTCATAGTGACCAAAGAAAACCTGGAAGAGGAGCTATTGAGATGGAGCATCCACAGCCCCATGAGAAAAAGGCAGGCAATCTGCTTTTTGCCAAGATGACGGGCTACTCACACTGGCTAGCCTGGATTGATGAATTCCCAGAGAGAACTATGAAGTCTCCAAGAAAAAAAGCATTCTATTTTTTTCTTTTGGCACCCGTGACGGCATTTCTAGTTTCCAAAGACCTTTTCCCATATAAGGACTACAAAGAGAGTTTAGAAAGTCAGACAAATAGAAAGGATTTAGTGAAGGATTATGGGAAATAGAAAACAACCCAGGAATAAAGTTTACTGGATGCCAGGCAATTCAGCAACAATAATCTTCAGAAACTGAGGTAGAAGGCGCTGCCAGTGCAAGCAATGAGGAAGAAGGTGATAGAGTAGACGAAGATGTAAAAAGCAAAAGAAAGAATGAAAAATCAGTCTCAAAACAAAAAATAAAGTCATAAATGTCAAAGAAGCCCTCTAAACATTCCAGAAATCTCCTGGACATGAAGATGAGAAAGAATGCAAAGAGGAGGAAAACAAAAGCAGATCTGAAGATGGAAATACCTGCAATGACAGAAGAAACAGCTTCAAACTTGTGGAAAACCAGTCAAGGGACCTACCTACCATAATTAATGCTGCATATTAAAAGAAATCATAAGAAGGTTAAATGTTTGGTTGTCTTATGCTCTTAGATTTTGTTTGTTTGTTTGTTTTTTGAGACTGAGTCTCACTCCATGGCCCAGGCTGGAGTATAGTGACATGATCTTGGCTCACTGCAACCTTCGCCCCCCCCACCCCCGGTTCAAAATGATTCTCCTGCCTCAGCCTTTCGAGTAGCTGTGACTACAGGCATGCACCACCATGCCCAGCTAATTTTTGTATTTTTAGTAGAGACGGGGGTTTCACCATGTTGATCAGGCTGGTCTCGAACTCCTGACCTCAGGCAATCCGCCTGCCTTGGCCTCTAAAAGGGCTGGGATTACAGGCATGAGCCACCGAGCCTGGTGGATGTTCTTAGGTTTTATATGAACCAACACATGGTCTTTGTTATTATTGACAGAACCCCAGTTTTTATGTACAGTATTCATATTCCTCTCTATTGTGGTTTAAAAAAATACATGTTATCCTTTTAAAAGGTTATTGATTTCATGTTAATTGGTTGCATGAAATTGCCCTTAACCATAAAGGATTATCAAGATTTTGGAACAGATTTATGCATATCTAGGATATCCACCATTCTCTGGTCCCCATCATCACCAAACACTTACTTAAAATAAGTTGGCATTTCTTTTAAATGACCACTCAGCATAATGCTTAAGAATGGGGTTTCCTGTCTGTGACAGAACTTAGGAACCATTCTTTTTTTTTTTTTTTTTTTTTTTTTTTTTTGAGACGGAGTTTCGCTCTTGTTACCCAGGCTGGAGTGCAATGGCGCGATCTCGGCTCACCGCAACCTCCGCCTCCTGGGCTCAGGCAATTCTCCTGCCTCAGCCTCCTAAGTAGCTGGGATTACAGGCACGCGCCACCATGCCTAGCTAGTTGGTTTTTTTTTGTATTTTTAGTAGAGACGGGGTTTCACCACGTTGACCAGGATGGTCTCGATCGTTTGACCTCGTGATCCACCCACCTCGGTCTCCCAAAGTGCTGGGATTACAGGCTTGAGCCACCGCGCCCGGCCAGAACCATTCTTAAACACAAAGTACTGGCACACTGAAGATGAAATTATAATTGGATTTCAGTTTTGAGAACATGTGTAAAGTTTACAGTATTAGAAATAGCTAGCTTTCCAAACTCATGTTGTTATGTGCAACACAGACTCAGTTTCTGTATGTGAAGTTAATGAGTCTTTTGGTGTCATTCCAAAATAAAAGCATTGGGAAAAAATAAATCTATTTTTTCCCCATGCCAACACAATTTGAGCTAATCACTCAAAGTGGATACTTTACATTTCAAAGCTGAAATTAGCAGCAGCCCTCTGGAAAACCAGGCAGGACACTGACATGTAAATATACTTTTAAAATGAACTGCTGTTTTCTTTGGAAAGTAGAATAAGAATAGTTAACATTGACCTATAAATCACTATTATGTGTGCATTATTGTTGCTACTGTGATATTAATTATTTATTTATTTTTATGCCAGCTTATATTGTGAGAACACATTTAGTCAGTTTGGGTTTTATTAATCCTGTTCTGCTTGTCCTTGGAACATCTTTCAAGTAAGTATATGAGGTTTTTAGTATAAAAATTTACTGTAAAATAAAAAGAAGTAAATGTACTGCTTTTGCAGAATAAATATATTGGAATGTGGAAAAATATGTCAGGATAGGGAACAGGGTAATATTTCAAATGGACACAGAAGGAAATTCTGGGATGGTGGCCATGTTATGTTATTTCCTCTGCATGTTGATTAAACAAGTACACTGAATTTGTGAAAATATCTATGGACCTGTACATATATGACTTATGCACCGTACCTCTCTGTATATGTGTTACATTTCAATCAAGTTTATTTTAAGTTCCGGGATACATGTGCAAGATGTGCAGGTTTGTTACATGGGTAAACGTGTGCCATGGTGGTTTGCTGCACCCATCAACCCATCACCTAAGTATTAAGCCCTGCATGCATTAGCTATTTATCCTCATGCTCTCCCTCCCCTCACCCCCTTAATGGGCCCCACTGTGTGTTGTTCCCCTGCCTGTGTCCATGTGTTCTCATTGTTCAGCTCCAGCTTATGTGTGAGAACTTGTAGTGTTTGGTTTTCTGTTCCTGTGTTAGTTTGCTGAGGATGATGGCTTCCAGCTTCATCCATGTTCCTGCAAAGAACATGATCTCATTCCTTTTTTATGGTTGCATAGTATTCCATGGTGTATATGTATATTTTCTTTATCCAATGTATCATTGATGAGCATTTGGGTTGATTCCATGTCTTTGCTATTCAACAGAGCTTTTTAAAGAACATAAACATATGTAAAATGCAAACAACAACCTCAAAAATATTTGCCACATTGTAGAAGTACAAAAGATAAAAATCATGAAGTTTTTAAATGGCTACTAAAAATAAGTAAGCAAAAAAACATCTCAAAAGAGAACTGTGCAGATAGTATAAATCACCAACCAATAATGGAGACAATACAAATGACCAATAAGTTTTCAAAAGTATTGTGTTTACCTACTAATTTTTAAAAAGTGAAAACAAAACTATGACATTATGTTCTGATAAATCTAGAAAAAGTTAAAAATAATATCATTTTTAAGTTATCAAGACTTTTCATAATAACTGTGTTTTTTTTGTTTTGTTTTGTTTTGTTTTGTTTTGTTTTGTTTTATTACATTTTAGGTTTTGGGGTACATGTGATGAACATGCAAGATTGTTGCATAGGTA